GCACGACGCTTTGCTGGTATGTTAGCCTGATTGACAGGGCACACTCAGCAAGGGGGCGAGGGGGCAGGGAGAGAGGCATAGGCACACCTGGGAAGGGACTCGGAAGTTTAAAACAGGACATTGCAACACACCACAACAACATAGGAGTTGTCAGCAGCAAGAATTCCATCTGATACAACCTCTATTACTGGTAATGCATTTTCATTCACTTCCACCTGCTTAGGAGTTGGCCTTCAGGGTCTTGCTCTGACTTTCATTGTGTGCTGGTAAGAGTACAACTGGGAGAGGGAATAGTCACTCATACACTCCAACCAGTGTGTGCCCTAGTAGAAAGATAAAAGCAGTTTAACACATAGGGAAGCTAGAAGCAAATCTCTCTGTGCTCAGTTATACTAGTGCAGAACTGCTAGTGAAAATTAAATTTGTGCCTGTCATTTGTATTAGACTCAATATTGATCCACAGTGATTTACCAGGCCACCTGTGGGTAAAATCTTTCAAAAGAAATACGAGCTAGTTTTAAAGTGAATTAAGGATACAGTGCTTTGCATAGCCTTAACTGATGTTCCTAAGCAAATCGTATCAATGGAACAAATCAGTGAAGACTGGGGCATTTAGAAAAACTAATTCTATTTGGAAAACATATTTGGAACAAATTTTGTTGAATTCCTCATACAGTTTCACAGCTACGTTATGCTTATTAATCTTCCTACTAGAAAGCATGATTTTTCCATTCTCTTTGTATACAAATACTTCTTTGCACATTTCATCTTTACAATTAGGAAAGTCTCTTTTCAACATTTTTTTACCTGTTGGACTGCTTTACTTTGTGACTAGGTTCTCTAAATAAACCTAACAATTTCAGGCTCAGTTCTTATTTATATTGTGTATCTTTGCCAGGTGAGCCAGGGAATATGCCTGAGGTGATCTGGTATTAGGAAGAAGTGTTTGTATTTTCATCACTTCTTTCCAAGAATTTTGAGACCTTTTAAGAAACCCAGAATACTATCTTTCCTCAGGTTCCCATGCTATCAGTGTAGAAAAAAAAACCAAAATTAAATAAGACAGTAAGACAAAATACACTTGCAGAATGCATGAGAAGTAAAGTAATAAACAAAAACATTCATTGTCTTTATCCAGTTTTGTCTCTCTAAGAATTTTAGCATAGATCTTGGAATATTTGCTTTAGCTCCTAGATATCTGTGAATATCCGTGAACTCATGTTCTGTTTATTTAAATTAGTGCAATTTTCTTTCACTCATGACTGTACTGAGAGGGCTCAAAACCAGAAAATCCATCAAATTGTATTTTTAAAATCTTCGGCTCAAATATTTTTATTTTGGTTTTGGCAGGACAGAGATTCATAATTTTTTAGTGCTTGGGATTAGCAGTTTGATTATGTTTCAAAACGTGGAAAATAGAAGCTAGGAGATCGTGTCATTTCAATAGCAAAGGAGAAAGCTGGCCTGCCCAGATCAGAAACCCCCTCTGACTTGCCATGTGGTACATTATATGCACATCATGTCATGTAAATGTCATCTTCACTCATCTGGTGTGTGGAATTCCCATTAACTGCGCATCCGTGCAGCCAAGTGGTGATGAATATGTATTCAATGCAGAGCTGCATTGAAAATCCACAGGGCAGATCAGAGAAGGAAAATTTCTGGTTAATATTGGATACCAGCCTCAAATTTTCATTTACATGTAGTCCAGCTACTCTGATTATTTCCTTGCAGTTACACAGATGTTTTACTCTCCCTCCAAGAAAAGAAGAATAAAGGTTTGTGAAATAGCAGAATGTGTTCCCACTGCAATAAAGAGCAGCTCTGCTGAGAGCAACAGCAACTCATTTCTCTGCATGGAGTTCATGTTCTGCCAATTATCTGACAGTTTGGTAGCTACTTAGCATCTTGTAGTGACATGAACATCTCAGGTCCCTCGTCTTCCCTGGCACCAGGCATTAAGCAATGACTTTCATACAAATGTCACAAAAGTCAACAGCTTTAGCTATGGGCTCAGCTCCAAACTGGCTCAGACCGTGGTGCCTGGGAAAGAAGAGCACAGTTCATTGAAAAAGGATTCCTCACTCATATCATCTTGGCTGATACGGCTTCAGCAGACCAATAGTGCCCCAAAGAGGCACGAGAACAACTCCAGTATCAATCACACTCTTCTGTTCACAAATGATCTCACATTCCTGTGCTAAATCCCAAACTGCAAAATATCCTGTCTTAATTTTAACAAGGTTTTACATTCTTACATTCTTGGCAGCAAAACATGAGAGCAAAAGCAGTATTGCACTAGGACAAGAACATATGTTTGAAAGGGTAAACAGGGAGTGCAAAGGTTCAGAAAGGGCAGAGAAAAGAGAACAAGAGTTTCTGGCTGGTCTCTGCTCGGTGCTGTAGCCACGCTGTTGCCCTTTTGCTCAGCCAGTCCCCTTTAATCTGTGACTGGGATCTCAAGGATTTGACAAATGAGTGCCTCTGAGGAGCTCCCCAGGACACACACCAGCCCCCATCCCCAAGCAAATATCCTTCTCAAGTATATTTTTCTCCAAAGCAGAACAGATACAGAGAAATCCTGCATCCTGCAAATAAATGCTTGCTGGCTCAGTGTCTTTAACCATGAATCTTTGTATTGTCTCTGTGTTATGTATTGTATCATTTTTCTACCTCAGAAGAGCAGGAAATAAGATCTTCTGAGTAACACATATGCAGAGGGTCGGGTTTTTTACATTTGCATGATTGGTAGTCTCAGGATGTCTCGTTTCGCCTCGTAACAGAACTGTTTGGTGTGACATATGCACAATCCACCTTTTTTGGTTTATAATCATATGGACTTATTACTCTTGAGAGCTTTAAATCACAGCAGTGACATGTTATAAGGCTACCTGCACTAGAACAATAAAATGTTTTTGAGGAAGGATGTTTTGAAGCCACAGAGAGACAACTTCAGACATGCAAGTTCAATTTCTCACTCTGACTTCTCGAAGTGAAGCACCTGCACTCTTCTGCCTGCTCAGGGCTGCACCTATGTAATGGAGAACTAAGGGGCATGAGGAGTTTTTTAAACAGTTTATTGGAGATCAAATGGAATTCTAACTTAATTAAAACTACCTAGGAATTCAAGTCAAAATTGGAAAAAGTTTCAAATAAAAATAAAAAGGTTGACATTGTTTGTAAACATGCCCTTTCAAAAGAAAATTAGATGTTTCCTTTTGGGAATGCTAAATCAATAGATCTGAAACATCTTTTGAGCGGCATTTTTAACTCTGCTTTGGAAGGTCATTCTTCTGCTAAAAGGATTTAAACAAAAAATACCCACAAACAGCTCTATTACTGGTTAAGCAAAATGTTTCAAAATCATTCTCACCAACTGAGAAAAAAAAAAATTGGAGAGCTTCTCTTTCATCTTGATGCAAATTTACTGTATGTTTCATTTCCAAGCCAGGTACTGAACCAGGATCCAACCCCCAGGTCATTTGCCCAGTTTCACATGAAATTTTTCCTTCCTATTAGTAGAGAAAGTCCTTCTGGGTTCACACTTTGTATTACTCTTTATGAATACACACACAGTTCTTGTGTGAACTGCAGAGCGCAGCAGGGCTCCGTGCACCAGGGTATTATTAATTTCTGTGCACCAGAGTATCATTAATGGCTCCATTGCTTTCCTCCCATCATCCAAGGTGTTGGCATCCCTATTGCTCCCTGGACAGCAAAAGGACAAACATGCTCTACCTTGAACAGCAGCTGTCCTAGATCAAGCTCGTGCTGTGCATGCTAAGCAGAAATTGGGTCATTTGGTATTCACCTTACTTTATGAGCAGGGCCCAAATCAACGCCCGCTATGTCACATTCATGATAGAAATTATACCTTATTAGAGTCAGCCAAGGCTTTATTCAAATATATTTATAGAAAATATCCATATGCAGTGTTACCAGAGATTTTCATGCAAATTACTATGATAGTTGAAACCTTATTAGAGTATGCCATTTGCATTCTGTGGAGTGAGTTTTTAGCATGGTCCTGGCCTGATTTGTAACTACAGCAGATATGGTCTAGCAATTCTATATCAGGATTACCTTCCCCAGAAGGGCAGACTGCCCTGGAAGAAAATGAGGAAGGAATAAAAATATCGGTATTACTGGATCCAAAGCAATGAATCCAGATTCTTTCTGCATTGCCTTTTATATAAACAAATCTAAAACAGAAGTTCAATAATAGGGAAACAAACTAAATCTGAATGTCTGCTTTAATTCCGTAGGAAACAACTTAAAAGCTTTCCTTGAATTCTCTAGCTAGTAAATTAGTGCAAATATCTATGTCAGTTAAAAAATAAGGGAAGGAAAATTGGGAGGGGATTGGAAGGGATTCTTCAGCAAGTGATGGATTTCTCTTAAAAATTTAAATCTCAAAGGCCATGACTTTGATATGAAGATTCCTTGTTAAATCGAGGCATTGTAAAAGGTGATTTTTTAATTCAGTCAAAGAGAATTTCGATAAAAGAACTTTCGACTGTTTCCACTAAATATCTTTTTCCAAAGAAGAAGGTGGGATGCAGTATCATGAATCAAGACATGCATGTATGTCCTCTCCTTCAGGCTTGCTTTGACCTGAAGCTCTGCTCACATCCATCTTTATAAATGCAAATTCTTAGTTCCCTAATTTTTTTCAAGGCCGCTGTGTAATTGGCTCGGTAAATTTAGAATCTTGCCTAATGCTGGAGCAGATGAAAGCAAGAAAATCTCCAAAGAGGAATGCAAACACGTATAATCCTTCAAAGGGAAGCCTTATGCTACTCTGAAACAGTATTTTTCTGGAACTGCTTATTATGCCTCTCACTTACTGTGTTCTCTCCCATTTAACAACAGGAGGAAACAATCCAGCGGGCACGGGAGGAAGATGAGAAGAGGAAAGAAATAACTAATCACTTCCAGGGCACGCTGAGTGAAATCCAGGCTCAGATCGAGCAGCAGAGTGAGAGGAACATGAAGCTCTGCCAGGAGAACACGGAGCTGGCCGAGAAGCTGAAGAGCATCATAGACCAGTACGAGCTGCGGGAAGAGGTGAGCGGTGTCCCGGCTGCTGCCGGGGATGGCAGCACGCTGTCCGGCTGTCCCGGGGGACCTGGTCGTCGTTCGGCTGTCTCACGGGGTGGCCCCCATGTGCTTTGCCCTCCGAGCAGCGCCGGGCCGGCAGCAAGGCCTCTGCGGGGTGGGGCTGCGTGGGACAGGGCCCGCCCGTGGAGCCGCGGCGGCCTTGCTGTGAGGGAGAGGGCTGAGGCACCCGAGCAGCCAGGGGTGCCAGCTGTCTGCTGAGCTGCCCAGCCCCGCCACGGCTCCCCCAGACCCTGGGGACCTCCCCCAGCATCCCTTTCCTCCTCCCCACTAAGCTCCCTCTGGGTACGTCCCAGCTCCCTTTCCTTTAGGCAGCCTGTTCTGCAGGGGACAACAAAGATATTTTGTTCCATCCAGAAGCAGGTTGCTGAGAAGGGCTCTGATGTAAACTATTTGACCCTTTCCCAAAAGCAGAAAATTAGGATGACAGATAAAGGAGACCCTTTGAATTTAAATAGATTTTTTTTTTAAATTTTGACACCAGAAAAAAATCCTCCAGTAAAATCCCAAACTACCTTTTTTTAAAATATTTTATGACAAACATCAACAAATATCACAATGGGTCTTTTTATAGTTTCTAAATACATTTACTGTGAGCCTCAGTGCAATCAGACAACATTATCATACTGAATAAAACATAAGTTATCTATCTTTACAATCTGGAATGACTGATACAATACCTGCTTTTCCAAATCTGTTGAATCATGTATGAATTTCTGTACTGAGTGAAGGAAATGTACACTCCTCTCTTGTGGTGTCTATGAGAAGAAAATGTAAACCAGAGGGACACACGCAGAATAATTGCTCCTATGAATTTTATCTGAGTGAATGAAGAGTGAAGAAGGCTATCAGCAACATTTATCTCCTGAAAGTCACCATGGAGGCAGACAATTTACAGGCTGGAGGAGGCCTCTGGTTTGTTTGGTCTTATCTCCAGATCCCCACTCATGTCCTGTCACCCAGGCCCTCCATTGTGCAGGTGTGTGCAGACCAAAGGGGATGTGCTGGGCTTGTATTTACTCAGAGGCTGTCATGGGCTGTGCACATGCTCCCAGTACTGCAGGTGCCAGGTGTCTACACCATCATCCACACTGTGGCCATTTAACAGCTAAAAAAGTGTGTCCTCAGCACTTTTATTATTGGTGAGCAATTATTTGATCTTCAATCATACTAGATTGGACTGATCACTGCATATGTAGATCATAGAACTGGCAAAGATGCTAAGGCTTTTTTTTTTTTCATATAATAAATCAAAATTGATAATGAACACCAGCTTCCCTTCCCATGTTAATTCTGGCACAGTTTATTCTTATCACAGCTGTAACGTTTCAGTAATTGCAATAGGAGTGTCTTCTTGTTTTGCAATGATTTTGTCTTTTAAGTGTTCCAGTAAATAGCTGTACATGTACAAGCATGAAGGTCTGTGTAGATAATTAAACCTGCACATTCAGCAGATTTTTTTTTTTTTTACAGCACCTTGACAAAATATTTAAGCACAGAGAACTTCAACAGAAACTGGTGGATGCCAAGTTGGAACAGTCTCAGGAAATGATGAAGGAAGCCGAGAAGCGACACCAGAAAGAGAAGGAATATGTATGTGCCTATCCTTCTAATTTGTCTGTCTTTCATCTAGCTTTAGGCCAAAACAAGCCCTGCATGCTATTTCACAAATATATTCAGGTCCAATCTGGGGTACAGTAGCAGAGAAGTTTTTATAGATACCATCAGTGCTCAGTGCAAAAGAACAGCCTCTGAAAGGCTGCTTTCATTGTCATTTACAGTTTTAGAGCTAAACCATCAGAGAGGAGACCAAGAACGTGGGATTGAAGTGAAATGGCTGAAGGCTGCTATTCCCCCAGGTTCCAGACTCCCCAGGCATGCTGCCATGGATCCACTTGTGCCATGGAGGAATCCACAGGAGCCACTTGCTCTTACAAAGCCTCCCCTTCACTGCTTCCCTCCTTGTACTGGTTTGCCTCTGTCAGGCAGGCAGGGTCTGGATCCATTTAGCAGCTTTGTCTGCTCTTCCTTCTTTTCTGGAGGCAAGGACAACTCTAGCAGGAGGACAGGGAAAAGTAGGAGACATGTCCTCTGCAGGCACAGCTGGGATGGCAGGAGGACATCCTCCATCTGTAGTCTGACACATTTTGTGACTCAATCTGACTAAAATTAATTTTCTCAGACTGCCTGGTATTTTCACAGCAATCCTCACATCCACAAAGGATCGGAGTTCAACGCAGGCACGTGGTCCCTCTTCTCAGTGGAGGCAGCAGGTCTCAGAGGGAGTGACAGGCTCTCATCAGCTGCAAGAAAGCTTTAGTTTTCACCAGTTCTCCACCTAACTCAGGAGCAGCGTGAGAGAGGACATTTATCCCTTCCCCATATCTGGAAACAGATATATTAGCACAAGCATGGCTTTAATGGGTATCTTAAAATACTCAAAATAGATGAAAATATGGGGCTCTAAGACTTGTTGTTAGAGCCCAAAGGAAACACAGCATACACCTCTTACCAAAAACAGCCCATAAGAGCATTTATCCTCTTTCTCTGCACTTATCTCTCAGCTGGAACACCCACTCCTGCTCAGCTTTACTCCCTGCTAAAGAGTGAGGGTGAAAACGAGCTGGGGCTTCTCTGTGCAAATCTGCATATCACTGCATGAAATCTGTGGTCCAACTGACTTATTCTCCTTCACTCTGAAACCCACATAAAGCCAAACCCCACAATTTCATTCAAGACCATTGATTCTTGGCAGATTTAAACTCCAAAAATCTCCAGATGTCCAAGAAATCACTTACAATGGCAAAGCAAATATGGGCTTACTTTAATGATGTCACTGGGAGTTCTGCTAATGAGTACCAGATTTCAAATACTGAGGGGGAAAAAATCCTCAGAACTGGAGATATAAAAGACCAAGCATTGGCTCTGTGGAAAACTGGCATATACAGACTTGTGTCAAAGACCTTTCATGCTGCACATCTCAGAACATGAATTTTGGGGCTGCTGTCATCTGTGACTGTCCCTGTTCTAGCCAAAACTCCTTTGCATGTATTATCCAGAACTGGTATGCACAGATTTAGTATTTTCATTTCTTTTAAAGCACTGAAAATCATCACTGTCTACAATTGGGAGTGGAAGATTTTCTTTTGGGCTTTGCTGTTTGCAAAAATTAACAGGTTTGAAAACAAGCTACAAAACCTTTACGCAGTGGGTGTATAATGGCACGCACAGTGTACAAAGAATATTTTTCCCATTGTCCAAATGAATTCTTAAAAATCTTGTCCCTGAGGTAGGCTGGTGGTGTGGGGCTAACATCACCTCCAAGCAAGGTAGATTTAGCCTCAGAAATGAAGGCCAAAAGCCATGCAATGAGTCAAGGCGTAATTAGACATGTCACGATGCATCACGGGCAGCCCAGCACCAGAGAGCTGGCCTACACTTGGCTCCCACCTCCATCCTATTGTTGTGCTCTTAGTCCCTCCCACCCAGCCATTGTGCTAGTGTCTGTGGGAGTAATGTATATACATGTATGTGTGAAATCAAGGTGCTTTTGATGGAGTTCTCTCACTTAGCTGTAACTCTCTCCAGCTCAGTAATGTGCAAAGTTAGAACAGCTTTCAGAATCTTTCTCTCCATAGAATTTTCTCATCCCTGTACATGACCTTTGCTGCAGGGTTTTGCAAGAGTTCTTAAATGAAAATTATTGTATGCTTTTATCTATCTGATTACTCTTTGAAGGCTCACTTTGATGCCTTCCCATGCACTTCTTCCATATGGGAATCTTTGCCCCTGTGCAAAACTTCTTTACCTCAGACAATGAGAGGTGTTACCTCTTGCAGAGCGTGTGCGCCTCAGAAGGAGGTAATCTCATTGCTTGCACAGTTCACTCTGCACATTCACCAAAGAATGCAATTCCCTGTTGAAGCAGCAGTGGTTCCTAATGTGTGGTTTCCACAAAGGGACAGCTTGACCTAAGGATGCTATTTTATCACCATCCCACAACTGGTCAGCACCACATAATTGGAATTTACAGAGTCTGACAGCAAAAAGAGAAGTTTAATTTTCACTAAGCCAGCCCCTGTGACTGTCTGGGCCTCCAGCAGCTACCATAGCTCTAATAATAGAGTGTAGCATCACCACCCTTCACTAAAGTGCTGCTCTGTAAACACCACATGCAATATTTATTCGTTTCTTCATACTTCAGCCTCCTTGTTACCACTTCATAGTCTATTAATAAATGTATCAGTTCTGATTCATTTTCTCCCAGCCTGGTGTTTGAAGATGACCTCAGGCTGCATAAGAACATGTGCTAATTTGAGCAAGCCTCTCTGTGGCTTGCTTCCATTACAGAAGAGTCTATTAACTCTTGGATTTTTGTTGACTGCAGAAGTTATGTGGGTCAATAAGAAAGAGGGATTTCATTAAGAGGCAAAAGAAGCAACTTTTCTTTGCCTTCTCTGTCCATCTGTTGTGCTGTGGCTGAAGACATGGTGCAGGAGGTGGGACCTTTTCATTATTTCAGTCACATTGGGTATGGAAGTAACACCAGCTGAGATTGAAGCAATTCAAATAAAATTCCAGTCCTTGAAAGTAATGACTGGCCTAGGGACTGGGTAGCTCTGAAGGTTTTGAAGCACATTTCATTAAATCATTCAAACCCTATAAATTCTAAAAGACACTCTAAAAAATTAGATATCAAAGAAAGGTGAAATTTAAAAATCCAAATTTCATCCAGACTTTTAAAAAATTTATTTAATTTTGTGTACATGAAAAGCATACTCTCTTCTGAGAAAATGAATGCACAAACTGTTGCTCATTTAACTCATGCCAACTCTTTTTACTGGCCATGGCATATCCTATTTGAAAGTTTAATCAACAAGACCTGAATTAAAGGACTTGATTTATCTCCATGGAATCAAATTAAATTCTCAAAATAAATATTGAGGCAGATATAAGTACAACACATAATTTCTTCATAATTGAGCTGTAAAACATTCTTGTCTAGGAAGCTTTAGATGTTAAAAATTCAGTGGGTTCAAATTAAAGGGCTGAATTGATGAAATATTTTTCTAGATCCAATATACAAATGTTTATGTATACAGCAAATCTAATTCAGATAGTCTCTGTGCCACAAACAACTGGAGACCATCAGCATTTTAGGATTCATCCTCAGCTCTTTTACCAGGTGGTTTTTGCATAGTTTACATGTCTTATTTCCAATAAAATGGCTAGAATAAAAGTTTTTACTGGGGATCAAATACATTTTTGGCATGTGCTTCTACTTGCCTTCCACTTCCAATATAAGATCCCCTGACATACACAGTCCTTTTAATTATCAAAATATTTTTAGAGCCCAGATGTGCTGTTTTAAATGCAATTTACAGTACAATTTAACTTCAATTTAGTCCAACAGAGCAAAATCCTGTGGTAAAATAACTTCTTTATGTCTCATTTCTCAAGCTATCATTAGCATTCATTTTCTAAAATATATTTGGCCTGACTAATAAAACACTTTATAAATGTTTGGTAGACGACAGGGACATTTCTTTAACACCCTGGTAAATGTTTCCTGCTTTTAGATTAAACCAATTGCTGAAATATTACTGTGTACTTTGGAAGTGCTGACTCAGAACTGTAGCCAGGAAAGGTCTCTGCAAACCTCATTCTATGGTTCATTCAGCCTTGACCAATCCTCCCCCTGTTTTATCTGCAGCCTGCAGATCAGAATGTGATTTTGCCAAACACCTTGGAGCAGGGAAGCACACCTTCCCAGGAGAAGCCAGGGAAGAAACTGCAGTCAAGCTCCTCCTGGGCTGCCTACTTAACCTGAGACATTTATCACCCTGAGCTGGAATTCTCCACTTGCCAGGGCAAACAGAGCCCAAAGATAACAGACAGCAGTAAATGTATGACATTTGCTATGCACTGGCTTTCTGAAAGCTCCCAGATTTTTTGATGCAGGTCTGACTGTGACCATCCCCACATGCTAACTCATGGTCATTAATGTGAAAGAAGTTTGCCATTCACTGGAGAGCAGGAATTTGGCTGGAGCTGTGCTGAAATGAATGTGCCAGAAAGTATCAGAACCATTCTCTAGAAGTCTGGTGAAGATGTGGTTAAATACTGCACTTTTTATAGCCCACTGTACTGCACACTTAATTCCAAGTAGGTTTTGAACTCCTATTCAAATATGCCCATGGAATGCAAATAGCCTGTCCCATGTCTCAGGATAACACTAAATAGTCTGCCTTACCTAACTGCTCTAACTATATTCACCTGAAAGTTAGGCCACACCTTATCACAGTAACATGAGGAGCTGGAGCATGAGGATTTCCAACTGCTAATCTAGGGACCTAACAATTTTTTCTCTGTTGCCCAAAACACAGCTCCTGAACCAAGCTGCAGAATGGAAGCTCCAGGCCAAAATGTTAAAGGAGCAAGAGACTGTCCTGCAGGCACAGGTGACGTAGGAGAGGTGATTGCATGGTGTGCCTTTGTTTGCCAGTTTTTAACCCATGAGGCACATCCCAGGTAAAGTATCCAAACTGCTTTCTGTGTATTCCTTCTAGCCTCATTCTACATCTCATAGACTA